GGCGCTCAGTCACAATCAATTTTAATGTAACTGTAACACTGCAACAACGTGTTCATAAACGTAAGGTATTTTGTTTAGGGAACCGGTTTATTGAACTTAAAGTCACATACGAGTAAACAAGGATCAAATATATCGGGAATGAATCGAAACAAAGTCCAAATAATAAATGTGATTTTAAAAACCGAATTGCGAAAGACAAGATGGGAGATAAAATGCAATCTGAGCAAAACACACTACTTTAGAGCCGTTGGTAAACTTTAAAAAATCAACTATTTCCCGAATAATGCCAGAAGACAGTTATGAGAAAAAGGAAAAATGGAAGAACCACGTCACGACTGACATTCTCATGTTTCTGATTTGTGACGTGAGGCTAACAGCACACATAACATTGTTTGTTCACCCACATTCACCCGACGACCAGTTTTCCAAATTTCTTGCGAAAGAGATTTCATTTGGATCGAGAAGTTTTACGACATTAGAAACACATATAAAATGAGGCGTTTTACAGTCCGTGTACTGGAAGCGTGGTTTGAATAAGGTTGAGAGAGGACGGAGAGACAAAGACGGTCACGATCCTCTAGAGTTTTTATAAAAAGACTACCCCACGTCCTCTATAGTTTTAACACCATTATTATGGCATATGATGATGTATGATAATTGACCCCTCGAAAGTTCGAGTCATTTTGCCGAAATACACTTCTCTTTTAAAGATAAGTGTCTTACGGACCCCCCCCCCCCCCTTTACTCCTTCCTTATCGACACATCTTAGATCTTTTAGGTGTCGAGCTTCAACCCTTTCTGTGAGGGCCAAATCCGCTGAGAGGGATATAATGTCTCAGTAGAAAGCGACAAAAACGTCTCTCCTCAAGAGACTGAAACTTAAGTCTTTTACGTGCGACGATTTTGAAAAAATGGGCCTAACTGCAACACCACATTATACGCCAGTGGCAAATGGTAAAATGGTATAGTTTGAACGCGCCTATCAAAACTATTAGGTTTTTTTTAAGAGGCGGGACCTCCAAATTTAACGTCCATCTCCGAAAAGACCGAACCAAGTGGGACATTTGTGTAAAGTGCCTTTCCCAAGGACGCAACGTCGGACCGAGCTGAGGCTCGATCCCCGAGCCCGCAATCTCATGATTACGAGCCCGGTAGCCTGAACGCTGGACTACCGAAGACGGTAGTGGCAGGAGTACGCATGTGGGATCCAAATGAACATGCAAAAGAGGCTTAGACTCGAGGCTTAAAATAACACACGAATCAATTGCCAGGATCAAAGTCATATTTCTATTTCGTTGTTATTTTTGTTGTTTTGTTAGTTTATTTCTTGGTTTGTTGTATTTTGTTTGTTTGTTTTCTGTTTGTTTCATTTTGTTTCAGTTTTAAAAAGTTTAATCTTTTTTTTGTTTTGTAAGTTTGTTCCTTGCTTTTTTTGTTGTTGCTCTGTTTGTTTTCTGTTTGTTTTATTTTGTTTTAGTGTATTTTTAAGCGGTAAGACGGCTTGCCGTCGCACACAGAAGACATGAGCTCGAGTCCTATGTTGGGATAATTTTATCGAGATTCTCGATCTTTCTGTTAAGATGTCTCCCTCTCAGCCAGGGCTGGCGGATTCGAAACCCTCCTCCTCGTAAATGATTCGAATTGTGTCTTTTACCTTAGAAAAAAGCCCCCATAAGACTGGCCTGGGTATTTGAGACCGTGGTTCTGATTCGCAACAGAATGATCTTGAAAACTTGGGTTCCTTGAATAGTTTCCACGGTTTTCCTCTCACTTGGTTAGTTCCTGTCGGACAAGAGTGTCGACTACTGGGTGCGGGTTACGGATGGGATCAGGTCGGGGGCGATCGCCCCACTCGTCGCATTTGTTTTTGAGCCGCGATCGGCTTGTGCTACAATAGCCGCTTTACGCTCTCAATCTGGCTAGCAAACCACCTCGACCGGACCCGACCCCCAATGGGCACCCCGTATATCAAAGATGCTGCCGTTCTAACGATAGAGCTAAGTCTTAATACCGTATTGCATTACATCGTTCTTAAACCAGTGGATGGCTGGTGAGAACCCTTTAGTGTGGTTTCGTTCTTTTTTTTCTTCTGACAAACATTTATCGTCCTTATGTCTACCCGACGATCAGTTTTCCAAAATTCTCGCTAAAGAGATTTCATTTGGAACACGTGTGTGCACGTGTATGTGCGCGCGTGTGTGTGTATTTGGTGAGTATGTGCGCGAGTGTGTGTGTATTTGTGTGTGTATGTGAGCGAGTGTGTGTGTGTGTGTGTGTGTGTGTGTGTGTGTGTGTGTGTGTGTGTCTGTGTGTGTATGTGGGTGTTATGTGTTTTTTTTTTCAAACCTGGAATTCGCCTGCACATCTTTTAATCATTTTTCTTACTACAGATTCTAGAGATGGGCTCCGCGCCAGAGACCGGAAGACAAACACAGCAGCGGGAGATGTGAGGGAAGTTTGCTGAGCTTGGGGGCCACATTTCACTATCCAGGTATCATCCACAGACCCTCGGGTTGTCCCAGCAAACAGTCCGGACAGACCGCTACCATGACGCTACATCCCCAGGCCGCTGTTACGGCCGTTTTGAGCAAACTCTGTCGTATTCCTGTGTGGATCTGTCTGTTGGCCGTCCTTGAATTCACAGGTAAGGGGAAGAGCGCACTCGTTGTTGAGTAACCAGCGACTGTTGGATCTGTACAATTTTTCACCGGCCTTGCATTTGTGTCTTTGCTGTGTTGATTGTCTGTTTGTCCGGTTACAATAAATATTCGTAAGTTAATGAGAGAGGACAAGGTTACACTACACGTTTTCAATACCAAAATTAAATCCCCCCCCCCCCCTCCAAAAAAACCGACCCCCCAAAAAAAACCAAAAACAACAACAAACCCATAACATAACCGAATACCTCTCTAAATGGTACATTTCTTTTGCTTGTGGTGTCAATTAGGACTTGCAGAATTGATACGCTTCTTTCCTTTTTTTCTCTACTACTTTGTTCTAACACACTCGGATTCTTTAAGGGAAAAGGAGGAGAGGGGAGGAAAGTTTCGATGAGAGCTTAACATCGAGCACATCATACACACACACACACACACACACACACACACACACACACACACACACACACACTCACACACACACACACACACACACACATTTCCTTTCTTCGTTTGCCTCAGACGCTTTTGAACTTGAATCTTTATTTTCCTGCTGCGGGGAATTTTTAGTTGCTTTACATGAAAGGAAACATACATGTAGCTACACACAGCATTTAAATTGTATTTTATTTTCATACAAGAATTTCAATATGAAGAGAAAATTAAATACTGACAATAATACAGCATGTCACATCAAATGCATATCTCAAGCTACAGGCAGGAATTTCTTACTAAAATTTCAATGTGAAGAGAAAAATAAACACTAAAAATAATGCAACATGTCCCATCAGATGCGTATTGCAAACCGCTTTCAGGAATTTATCAGGCTAGTGAATATAAAATGACTGAAAACATGCGGTAAACACCGCCGCTGATCGATACTTTATAACGTAATCAAGATTGCGGACAATGCTGTTGTTGGCCCACACCCTTGCCCGTTCTGCCGGATAAATAATGAACAGGACGAAAATAGAGCAGAGGGGAGGGAGGACGTGCTGTAGAAGCGTGTGCTGTCTGCTTGATTTGATGAGTGTATACTGTTGTGACACACTGATGATATGGTCCGATTTGCCGTTGAAGCGATCGTACAATAATTATTATGATGATGGTATGCGTTCTCTGTTATGTTTTTAAAATTTCCTTAAAGTTAAAGTATATCTTTATAATTGTGAAACTGGAGATGCAATGCAATGAGCTATTTGTTTTCTATCTCAGGTGTTTTATGAGTTTTGCCGGGTTGCTATTAACATACGAGCTTTCTGAAGTAATAGACAGCTGCTGTGAACGATGCCCCCCCCCCTTCCCACCGTCTCTCTCTCTCTGTCTGTCTGTCTGTCAGTCTGTCAGTCTGTCTGTCTGTCTCTCCGTCTTTCTCTGTCTCTCTGTCTCTTTGTCTCTCTCTCTCTGTCTGTCTGTCTCTCTCTCTCTCTCTCTCTCTCTCTCTCTCTCTCTCTCTCTCTCTCTCTCCCTCCCCTCCCCCGCCCCACCCACCTTTCCAACTACTGAGCAGAGCTTATGTAGCTGTTCTCCAACTCTATCTACCTTAACTTATTGAGTATAACATAATAGGTTTGTTGGAAAGAGTGTGTGAACAAACTTAGATTGTTTTACAGTGTGACTCGCTAAAAAATCGAGTTTCCGTGCTGGAGCTCGTGTGACCGTTTTCGTCACAGGAGACCGTTATGACGAAACTAGCTGAGGACCGGGCTTTGCTTGGGATCGACGCCTTGGCGTCACTTCTCCAACTGGTCTACGCCGCTGAGGCAATTTACATCTAGTCAACATTGCTGTCTAGCCTTTCACAGACACACCTGGCTTCTAGATCTATATTGCTTTAGATTAGGTCTGCCTTGATTAACTCCTCTCTTGATCTACCTTGCTTTAGTGTATTGCTGTCTAGCCCTTCGCAATCACAAAATACGGGTTTCGCCTTACGCCATCACAAAAAAGCACTAAAAAATAATAATCCGCGAAAGGGCTGTAAAAGGAACACGCCGACGTCTTCAAAATCACAGAGGCAGTGTCTATAGCCAGTTCACTTTCCTCTGACAAAGTTAAAGAAAATTCTAGCTCATTGACATATTTACCTATGCCCACGAAACTTTGCAAGGCACTTCTACAGGCTAGCGACCAAACAAAAATATTTAAAAAAAATCATGACCCAGTAAAAAAAAAGTTTTTCTCTTTGGGCCGTATATTAAAACAATTCTTTTGATGCATACACAGGATCACGTCTCCACGTACTACATGTGGGTCGAAAATTACTCACCCCGTCTCTTGAATCGAATTTCTTTGGCGAACGTTAAAGAAGTAATGAACTTACCTTGTGAAGGAGAGCTGGGCAGATTTGTTCCATTTTTCAGTATAATAATCATAGAGGCCAAAAAAGGTGGGGAACTTTTTGTCAACATATTTTTCTAAATTCAGGAAATGATAAATAAAAAATTGGGCTCCGTCATGGGGACCTATCTATCTTTTTGCAGGTACTTGCTACTTTCAACTCTGTAGCTGTCGTAGCTTTATGGGGAAAAGTGACACATGTGTTTCCTACTTGCAAAATATAAAATAGCTCTAGATGTCGGACAATTTAATTTTATTCTTGTTTTCCTTACCTCATGGTGTCAATTTTCAATAATTTTAACATCCGCTGAGAAAGGAAATACTGAAAATCTCATCACATTGCTATCATTTTCCTTCCGCGTGCGTCTTAGAGAAGGTTGAGAGCGGGGAAAAACGAATACGTCATGCAATATTTGGCATTCAATCTCGATTTTTTTGCGAATTGTTTAAAGCTGGACGCAACAGGCGGGGATAGTGGGAGGTTTTGCAGTTAATGCTGGCACGTGAAGAAAACTCACAGAAAATGATGTACAGACAAGGGGGAAGACATGGAATAATAGCATACGGCTAGCTCAGGATAGGTAAAGGTGAAAAAAAGGAGAAAGACAGTGTTGTGATTTTCGGTGCATCCGACGTACCAGAAAAGAGGTACTTTGTCTAAATGCCGTCACCACAATGATGACGTGCGTGGAAAAACAAACGATACCGATACCAGTAGAAGGAAGCGAGGTTCATAATATACATCTCTAACAATACTTGACATTGTAGGATTACTCAGAAAGGAAATTGTAATAAATCATCCGAGGCCACTGTCACCAAAAATAATAATGAATAAACGGTATGTTAAATAGCGCATATCCACCCTCTACAACACGCTCTATGCGCTTTACAACTATTATTACACAGCAGATCTTAAAATACTCAGAAACATTATCGGTTTCACAGGAAGCATACAGTGCAAGGTGCGGATTTCACCTGCTCAAACAGTAATAAACTGACAAAATCTTTCGATCTCTACAGCCAGGTACCATTCCCACAGGGGCGTGGCGTCACTTCCACAGAAGGTGGCTCCAAGAACAAAGTTATGCACAACGAATAGTATTGTCTACTTATTACAGGCCTATAAACTGTAGACCTACTACACGCCTCTTCGTTTAATTAAAATACTGATACAGGGACACCTACTTCCATGCGAGAAGAATTGATATGTGCAGGTACAATCGTTTACATATAGAGAGAGAACTGATTATAAAGAACCAAGTTCGGCGCTCAAGATGCGTACAATCACATCATATTATAATTGTTCAAACAGAAAACAAAAACTTCTTACGGATCAACAGAAAAGCACACATTCACAGTCAAGAACACGCATGCACTATTGCCCTCGGGGCGTCTTGACATAATGACCCCATTCCCTGATTCACTTGCAGTTCTGGTTTCTAGAAAGCAGACAATAAAACCTATTTTTAGACAGTTCGCAACGATGCCATGTCCAGGCTAATTACCACTCCATCCCCTCCCTACCATACAGGCGCCAAATCCATCTCGGCCCTTTGACCCAACAGTACAATCTCTTAGTGTGATGGGAGTACCTGTTGTAGCATTTTTGGCTGAGTTATGTACTTGGTGATATCTCTTGTGTCTTCCGTCAAATATCTGGATGGGGTATTAAAGAAACTTGTTTGCTCTTCTTGAAGAGAAAACCGTGTTTTCAACTGATTGAATCAAATAGTTTACGGATCATTTTGAATTATTTTGACCAGACTTCACACCTAAACAATGAACACCCAGATGGGTTCAGGAGGAAAGACACTGATTCAGGTAGCGCCGATCTGGACTCGGCGCCCTCGGTGACGTCAGACGTAGGGAACGAAAGACGCGGGGAGACCCGCGATCAGCAACGGGAGGCTTACCTGCCCTCCTTCCACTAGCCTAATTAATATATACACCTTAACTAAAGACTGGCGTACTTAGGGTTGAACACTGAATAAGAGATTTGTTGGAGAAAAATATTGTGATATTTAGTGAAAAATCGTATCCCTTTTTTGAAAATCCCTTCTCCATTTCAAAGGGTGGCGTCATGGCGCCATTTGCGCTTGGAGAGCCACGCCACTGCATTCCCACCTGGTTGAAGTGAGGCATATTTATGTAAAATGCCTTTTTCAAGGACAGGACTCGAACCTACGACCTTATAATTGCGAGTCTGAGCCTAACCACTTGGCCACCGACGTCACTTGTCATTAGGAATCACTTAGAAAGGAAAGTGTCATGAATCATCCGAGACCATTGTCACCAGTGGTACAAAGCTTTTCTTTTCAACTCCGCCGTTCCCAACAATGGATTCAGTCTTTTGACTCAGCTTGTACACGACGTGTGCTGTCACTTATTGAAAGTAAAATAACCGCCAGTGCAGCAGAAATAATGGCTTCTTACACAAGAGGCATAACTTACATACCTCAACTTGTCGAGAAACAGCCTATATAATACATTTTAGCCTTGAGCTAAGATGAGTTTGACAACCTCCCCCACAACCAGCTGTTGAGAAGAAAATGAGATCAACAAGGGTACGAGACCCATTATACAATGACCTCGACAGTGAAGGTCAGAGACTCTCCCGTTTCCATGGATATCAAACGTACAGTTTGTCATTAGCTGATATCGAAAAAATGGAAGAAACGGAAATGACTGTCCTTTCGTTTTACCTGCAGGCTATTAGGACTGTTTGCCCGCTTCCATCGAAAGTCACACTGAGTACATAGCAACACAACTGACGATCAAAATATGTTAAGTGCATTAATGTTTTAAGCAAGGCTTAACGTGTGTT